TTGTACAGTATTGTACAAGTCTATTGTATAGTATTGTACAAGTCGATAGTACAGTATTGTACAAGTCGATTGTACAGTATTGTACAAGTCGATTGTACAGTATTGTACAAGTCGATAGTACAGTATTGTACAAGTCTATTGTACAGTATCGTACAAGCACAGCAGACTTGTACGGTATAAATCAAGATATCCAATGAATTCAAACTATTCAGGTAATAAAGTAAAGTAAGAAATGGGAAGAAAGAAAGATTTCCGGAGAGGGAATTGAACCAAACCTTTTTATTCCTCAGACAAATGCTCTAACCACTGAACTATCCAGTATTGCTAGAGAAGAAAGAGAGAATACTAGGGGGAAGAGAAAGGAAGAGAAAGGAAGAGATAGGAAGAGAAAGGAAGAGATAGGAAGAGAAAGGAAGAGAAAGGAAGAGAAAGGAAGAGAAAGGAAGAGATAGGAAGAGATAGGAAGAGAAAGGAAGAGAAAGGAAGAGATAGGAAGAGAAAGGAAGAGATAGGAAGAGAAAGGTAGAGAAAGGTAGAGAAAGGTAGAGAAAGGAAGAAAGAGAAAAGGAAAGTAATATCTCTATCAAAACCAAAATGAATTCATTTCACCAAAGCTCGTTTGCACAGCTCAATCAACTAAAATAAACTTTGTAAATATATAATGGCTATTATTTTTTTTTGCCGATCAAAGAATAGAACTCTTTTTGAACCTCAGAAAAGCAATTTTAGAATCAATCGAAATGTCATCTGGATGTCTGGATTGGGTTTTTTAAAAAATCTAACTAAAAAATGGATGTTTGATATTGAATTTTTTTATAAAAGGGAATCATTTTGACGTAATAAGAGTAGAGATTTGGAGTAGGTTTTGGAGTAGGTTTTGGATTTGGTTTGGAGTAGGTTTTGGAGTAGGTTTTGGAGTAGGTTTTGGAGTAGGTTTTGGAGTAGGTTTTGGAGTAGGTTTTGGAGTAGGTTTTGGAGTAGGTTTTGGATTTGGTTTGGAGTAGGTTTTGGAGTAGGTTTTGGAGTAGGTTTTGGAGTAGGTTTTGGAATAGGTTTTCGAGTAGGTTTTGGATTTGATTTGATTTGGAATTGATTTGGAATTGATTTGGAATTGATTTGGATTTGATTTGGATTTGATTAGCTTTTTGATTAGCTTTTTGAAAGTTTAGTATGTCTTCAAAGTTTAAGCAAGCCTAAGTCAAGACCAGGGAAATCTGCATATCTATTCGATAAATCAAAAACTGAATCCTGGAGGCTTGTTTATTAGGCTTATTTGCATAAGAGAAAGCCGTAAGCTGGAAAGAGCAGGCTAGAAAGAACAGGCTGGAAAGAACAGGCTGGAAAGAGCATACGGCTTTAGAAGCCAAATCCTGGCCTGGTTTCTGGTCTTGCCAAGCCAGGATCAAGCTTTTGAACTGATCTGACTACAGAGATGTTTCAATCGCCTCTTACTAGGGAAAGGATCTCTTACTCTTACAAACTAGGAAAAGGCATAGAGTCAAGGTAGCCTTTTTCAACGGCATCTAGCTCATATTGTGCAGTTTTCTCGGAATCTGGTGATGCTTTTAGTTTTTCCAAAAGAGCTCTGTAACACGAGTTATCTAGCAAAAGCGATTTTGGCATAGAGTTGGCATCAAAAACTCGTGCGCCATTGGGATTCGAACCCGTGACCTTTCGCTTACCTGTGCTAATGCTAACCATTGCTAACTGTGCTAACCTTTGCTAACCTTTGCTAACTGTGCTAACTAGACTTCGGCAAACAAAACCAAAACCAAAACAGACCAAAACCAAAACCAAAACCAAAACAAACCAAAACTCAATTTGCATATAAATTAACATGCAAATTTAAAATTGTAAAATGCAAATTTAAAATTGTAAAATGCAAATTAGCCTTTCACTTTTTCTCACTCCACAAAATCTCGCTGCCGAAAAAAAGGACCAAAACACGACCTCGAAATTTTCGAAACAAAAAATAGCCTATGGGATAGATTTTTGGATGCTGATTTCAAATCTGCAAACAGATTTTCGCTAGCTCCTCCCAGTCGCGAGATATTGGCGAGTTTTGGTTAGTTTTGGTTTTGGTTTTTGGTTTTGGTTTGTTTTGGTTTTGGTTTTGTTATGGTTTTGGTTTTGGTAGTTTTGGTTTTGGTTAAGTTTTGTTTTCCGAAGTCTAGTGCTAACTGTGCTAACCTGTGCTAACTGTGCTGACCTGTGCTAACTGTGCTAGCTGTGCTAACCATTACACCACAACGCACTTGATCTCCCTTACTCCAGAGGGAGTTAACTATAATAGCAAAAACGTTCGGTAGATTACTGTAAATAACTTTTTTCTCGAGAACTATATCCTCAAAAACTGCAAACACTCCCTATTTGGCACACTCAATTTTTCAATTCTTTGGTAATCTTGAATTTTTTTGCCTTTAATGTCAAGAAACCATTACTTTGACGACTTCATTTTCATTTTCATTTGAAACAACACAATGGGAATCATTTTTTTAGTAGAGAATGATCTTCAGAGAAAAAATGTGTTTTTCGAGATGTTTTCATGTTAAATTTGAATTCCTGTCGCAAAGTTTAAATGTTAATTTTATCTTATTGTTAAATGTTAATTTTCGCGCAACGTCGCATTCCAATTGACGTCGCCGCCATTTGGAGGTAGTCGATGGGAGCGCCGCGTCGTCGTTTCTTTTTCATTTTCAAATCATTTGCTTTTGTCAGATTAATTCAAAGTATTGTTTTATGCGATAAATTTTGTGTTGTGTTGTGCTGTGTTGTGTGTGTTGTGTGTTGTGTGTTGTGTGTTGTGTGTTGTGTGTTGTGTGTTGTGTGTTGTGTGTTGTGTTGTGCTGTGTTGTGCTGTGTTGTGTTGTGCTGTGTTGTGTTGTGTTGTGTGCTGTGTTGTCTGTTGTGTGTTGTGTGTTGTGTTGTGTTGTGCTGTGTTGTGTTGTGCTGTGTTGTGTGTGTTGTGTGTTGTGTGTTGTGTGTTGTGTTGTGTGTTGTGCTGTGTGTTGTGCTGTGTTGTGTTGTGTTGTGTTGTGTGTTGTGTGTTGTGTGTTGTGTTGTGTTGTGTGTTGTGTGTTGTGTTGTGTTGTGTTGTGTTGTGTGTTGTGTCTTGTGTGTTGTGTTGTGTGTTGTGTTGTGTGTTGTGTGTTGTGTGTTGTGTTGTGTTGTGTGTTGTGTGTTGTGTGTTGTGTTGTGTGTTGCACATCGGCGCGAAAACGCGTTTTCTATCGGATTTTTCTGGGTGTACCGTTTTTAGATGCGGAAAATTGTGCTGATTCCAAATCTGAAGGAATTTGTATCAAAATGTTCGTAAGAGTCTCTAGAATAAAACTTATCCCTTCGTTTTTTGTTCTAGACCCTGATTGTCGAGTTACGAGCCCCAAACTGCAGGGTACCACAAAATTTCCCATACAAAATGACCAAAAAAACCGCTAAAACTAAATTTAAAAAATTTCTGCCAGAGGGATTTGGAAAATTCCTTCAGATTCGGATTGAAATTCCTTCAGAGCTGATTGAGCTCAATTTTCCGCATCTAAAAAAGGTACCCCCAGAAAAATCCGATAGAAAACACATTTTTGCTTTATTTCGCGCCGATGTGTGTTGTGTTGTTGTGTTGTGCTGTGTTGTTGTGGTGTGTTGTTGTGGTGTGTTGTGTCGTGTTGTGTTGTTGTTGTGTGTTGTGTTGTTGTTGTGTGTTGTGTTGTTGTGTTGTTGTGTTGTTGTGTTGTTGTGTTGTTGTGTTGTTGTGTTGTTGTGTTGTTGTGTTGTTGTGTTGTTGTGTGTTAAGTGTTGTTGTGTGTTGTGTTGTTGTGTCGTGTGTTGTGTCGTGTTGTGTTGTTGTTGTGTGTTGTGTTGTTGTTGTGTGTTGTGTTGTTGTGTTGTTGTGTTGTTGTGTTGTTGTGTGTTAAGTGTTGTTGTGTGTTGTGTTGTTGTGTCGTGTGTTGTGTTGTGTTGTGTTGTGTTGTGTGCTGTGTTGTGTGTGTTGTGTTGTGTTGTGTTGTTATGTGTTTTGTTGTGTGTTATCACTCTTTCCAAAATTCTGCTCAACAAAGCAAAGTACAGTGGCTTTTGGGATGAACTTTTGACATCGGATGAAAAATGGATCTTATACAATAACTCGAGCAGAAATTTTGCGTTGTGTTGAAATGAGAAAGCAATCTATTTCTATTTGGGAGCCGAGTGGAAGATGCGGAACTTTTCGTATCCGGATCACAATGAAGGTCAAAACTAATTGTATGATGGTTTGGGGATTTGAATGGAAACAACGAAAGCAAGGCTGATCTGCTGGATCGTTAGAAAGGCTGATCTGCTGGATCGTTTTGTCCGAAACAGGATGAAAGCAACAATTTTGAATTGATTTAACACTGACTTAACAGTGAAGAAATGAACAAATTTAAAAAACAACAAGATTGAGAGAGAAAAAGATATTCAGGGGAGACAAAAATTAAACGAAACTAGTACTTTCCTGTAGTCGTTTCACGTTTTCTTACTTTAAAACTCGTTTTCTTACTTTAGTTTGGATGTAAATTTGTAATCTTGTTTGTAAATCGTGGAAAAAGCAAAGCTTAGCCTAACCTGGCCTGATTTTAAACCCCTAAATCAACCCTACTACAATTATTACGATAGATTACTATAGACAAATTTTTTCTCGAGAACTATATCCTCAAAAACTTGCAAACAGTCCCTCTTTGGCACACTCAATTTCAATTCTTTCAATTCAATTCTTTGGTAATCTTGAATCTTTTGCCTTTAATATCAAGAAACCATTATTTTGTCGACTGTCGACTGTCGACTTCTTGTTTACATTTAAAACAACACAATGGGAACACATTTTTTTCAATTTTGTTCAATTTTTTCAACAATTTTGTTGTGGTAATGACAAATTTTGAGACTTTGAGACTTTGAGACAAATGGAGGCAAATGAAGGAGGACAAATGGAGGCAAATAAAAGAGAGAAGAAAAGAGTGACTTTTTTTCAAATGATTTTTGAATTGAAAATGTGGTCTCTTCTCGGTTTATTTCTTGTTCCAATCCTAGCTTTTCTAGGGTAGGTTGAATAGTTTCAAAAATATTTCATCTTTCATGCAATTAGTTACTTTTATGGATTAACCTGGTTTAGCTGGTGTTTACTTTCTATAATGTGACTCCTAGCATATTGTAAATCAAAGGAAGTCAGACTTGGCTTGGATTGGCTTGGATTGGCTTGGATTGGCTTGGATTGGCTTGGTTTGGCTTGGATTGGCTTGGATTGGATTGGCTTGGCTTGACTTGGCTTGGATTGGATTGGCTGGCTGGTTTATCCAGGGCCAGAAGCACATGCTATCAGTTTGGTGGAATCTGTCATTTATTCTCGATAATAAGCAGACAATCAATTCAATTCTACCAGCTCAAAAAGACTCGATAAGAATAAAAAAAAACCTCAATTTGAAAAAGATCATTCTCCAACACGAGAAGTTCACATCCGGCAAAGATGAGCCGGTTTAGAATTCACCATGGTTGCTCCAGTCGAGTCAGGCTTTCTTGCACATTCGCATCGTCATGCCATTACCACTAAAGCTTATAGTATTTACAGTCTTTTCCTCTACCTCTAGCTATCAGCTACCTCTAGCTATCAGCTACCTCTAGCTATCAGCTACCTCTAGCTATCAGCTACCTCTAGCTATCAGCTACCTCTAGCTATCAGCTACCTCTAGCTATCAGCTACCTCTAGCTATCAGCTACCTCTAGCTATCAGCTACCCAATTCTCCTTAAATCTTACTGTAGACCTTAACAAAGCTTTACTTAAACTTTAGTTTAACTTTAGTGAGCCGTACACTCACGACGAGTATGAAAACGAAAGCCATATCGATCTTCTCTGGCGTGGATATAAGCAGAAATTTAGTAAGATGGAAAATACAGTAAAATGACCAACGTACAGTTAAAGTTAATGACAGTTAAAGTACAGTTAAAGTACAGTTAAAGTACAGTTAAAGTACAGTTAAAGTACAGTTAAAGTTAGCGTACAGTTAATGACAGTTAACGTACAGTTAAAGTACAGTTAAAGTACAGTTAAAGTTAACGTACAGTTAATGACAACAGTAAAAGTTTCAGGTAAAAACTATTCACCGAGAGAAGAAGTGTTGAGAAAGCGATACTTCTTGAGAGCCTATCGTGCTATTCACAAGCAAAACGATTATGGAATGGAGAAGGGCTTGCGGCTAGACTTCAATCAATTCAGTGACTTTGTGAGTTGTTCATTGTTTCATGGATTTCATGGAACCTAATAGAATGAAGAGGAGATGAGCAAGAGATTGGGGTACAAAATGAGTCGTGTGCAGTTGGTACAGATCAAGAAAGAGGGAAATGTGTGGGCGGAACCGATGAATGTAAAGGTGGGTGTTACGAGCAGGAGTATCACTAGGGAATTTCGTTAACAGCTACAGCGTTAACAGCAAATTCTCTTTTCTAGAGCGAAATATAGAGTTGTTAATAATCTAATTTACAATATTTTAGAAGAAAATGAGCTGAATCAAATCGAAATGAAATCGAAATAGAATTTCATCTTTTTTAGATGAACCGAATACCTCTATTGGATTGATTTTCGGGAAACTAGTCGATAGGAGCGTAAAGTACTCGACGAAAAGAGCTCATATCTCAAAAACGATAAGCCAAGCAAAGCAAAGCCAAGCCAAGCTAAGCCAAGCTATACAAATAGATCTAGAAATCGCATAGATCAGTCGACCAAGACTTTCTGACCTTTCTTTAGCTTACCTGAACCAAAAGAAGTGCCTGGTTTACCTTAAGAAGTTACTTTACCCAACCTTACCCAACCTTACCCAACCTGTTTTCAAATTCCCTTTGGAATAACCATGACTACAATCCAATGTTCAATTTGAACCATTTTAAACCACTACCAGTACCAGTACCAGTACCAGTACCAGTACCAGTACCAGTACCAGTACTAGTACCTAATATTGACAGAATCAGAGTGGGACAATTGGATAAGAGATTATTAATAAGAGATTCGTGAGGATGATTACTGTAAAAATTATCCTCAATTTTGAAGCATTCAACTTCTAGGTTCCTGACGCGATCGATTGGAGAGACAAAGGATATGTGACTGATGTGAAAAATCAAGGACAATGTGGATCGTGCTATGCGTTTAGGTAGGCTTGAAAGGTTATTGAAGATAGTAAAGCTAATAAAGGCTCAGATAATAAAGGGGCGGGGAAAAAAGGGGCCAGAAAAAAAAGGGGGGTAATAAAGGCTCAGATAATAAAGGCTTCCTAATAAAGCTTCAACTAATAAAGGCTTGCTAATAAAGTTGTTCTAATCAACAAGACTGAATAAGAGTTTAGTGCCACGGGTGCTCTGGAAGGTCAAGTGAAACGTATGACTGGGAAACTCTTCGAACTCTCTGAGCAGAATATCGTAAGGCTCTTCAAATACTTTTCTAAAACTTGTCCCTTTTCTCGACTACCGTAATCTATCTATCTATCTATCTATCTATCTATCTATCTATCTATCTATCTATCTATCTATCTATCTATCTATCTATCTATCTATCTATCTATCTATCTATCTATTTATCTATCTATCTATCTATCTATCTATCTATCTATCTATCTATCTAACTATTGGGTTGGGGACTATGACTCGGCGCCAAACTTTAAAGGGACTTTTTGCACACATAAAGCCTTCTTTAAACATATGTTTGGTTTCATCAAAAGGATCCACTATTTCTCTACAAAATCACTTTTGAGAGATTCCACAAAGCTTTTCTTTCGTCGAGTTTATGGACTCCCAAACACAGCTAGTCAAAATGGCAAAGTGTCCGACTCATCATTTGAACAGTTTCTTTCACATAAACCTTCTTTGGTGTTTATATAAAAAAGATAGAGCACATTCAATTACTTAAGTTGCCAAATTTGCAGGAAGATCCCACCAATGGTTTTTTCTAGATCACAGTTTGTAGTTTTTGTGAAAAAATTCTTGAGCGGAATTTTTCTTGAGCGGAGGCGCTGTTTGAATTTTCTTTTAAATGTCATTTTGTAGAGAATTAGTTAACCATTCTACTCATATCAAACGCATATTATTTGACGAAGTCGAATTGAAGTTTTAGACATTTTTTTGATTTTCGGCGCCGAGTCATAGTCCCCAACCCAATACTTTGTTCTGATTTTGTACGGACTCAAAAAGGAAATCGAAAGAGAAAAAGTCGAAAATGGATAAAATGGAGAAAAGATTAGGACAAGGAAACATTTTAGGAAACATCTGTATAGGTGGATATAAGAAAGTATATAAGTATTTGCGAGTATATAAGGAATATTTTAGGTGGATTGCTCAAGTAATTATGGAAATGATGGCTGTGATGGAGGTTTAATGTCATACGCGTACAAATACATCGCTGCAAATGGAGGAATCGATACAGAGGACAGTTATCCTTATGAGGCTGCTGTGGGTGATCGAATAGATTGAATAGATTGAATAGATTGAATAGATTGAATAGATTGAATAGATTGAATAGATTGAATAGATTGAATAGATTGAATAGCTTGAGAAGCTTGAGCAACAAGCTTGAGCATAGATTACAAGCCTGAATAGCCAGAATAGCTTGAGCAGTTTGACAAGCTTGAGCATAGATTAAAAGCCTGAATAGCCTGAATAGCTTGAGCAACAAGCTTGTAGCAAGAACAAGCCTGAATAGCCAGAATAGCTTGAGCAGGTTGACAAGCTTGAATAGATCGCAAGAACAAGCCTGAGCCAGAAGCTTGTGCAATTTTCAAGCTTGTGCAAGCTTTTCTACAAGCCATTTTTTTTTTGAGCCAGAAGCTTGAGCAACAAGCTTGAGCAAGAACAAGCCTGAGCCAGAAGCTTGAGCAACAAGCTTGAGCAAGAACAAGCCTGAGCCAGAAGCTTGAGCAACAAGCTTGAGCAAGAACAAGCCTGAGCCAGAAGCTTGAGCCAGAAGCTTGAGCAACAAGCTTGAGCCAGAAGCTTGGGCAACAAGCTTGAGCAACAAGCCTGAGCCAGAAGCTTGAGCAACAAGCTTGAGCAAGAACAAGCCTGAGCCAGAAGCTTGAGCCAGAAGCTTGAGCAACAAGCCTGAGCAAGAACAAGCTTGAGCTTACTGAAGCCTAAAGTTGTGTACAGAGTACTGTAGAGTTTGTATAGTAGAGAATTTGGATAGTATTTAGAAAAGCTAAGCTTAATGTTGTTTAGAATATTGTAGAAAGACTACTGTAGTATTCCGAATTTCTAGAAGGAGACCTGCTCCTTCAACAATGACACAATCGGCGCTGATGACAGTGGATACACTGTGATTAAATCTGGAGATGAGGAGGCATTGAAGGTGAAATTTGCTTGCTTTACATCAAATTCTCGAAGTTATTCCAGTTATTTCAGTTTTTAAAGTCAAAATTTACAGCTAGCTGTTGCCACAATGGGCCCAATCGCGGTGGCAATCGAGGTCACAAAGTCGTTCTTCCATTACAGCGAAGGTATAGCTTTGGAGACGCGTTTGAACAGTTTAAAGCTTAAAAACCCTTGAAAAAGGATAAAAGCATTTAAAAAGCGTCTTTAAGCATTGTTGCTTAATTAGCATTAAGCATTGTTACTTGATTAGTCTTTAAGCTGTTTAAAAGTTTCAAATTCGGATTCAGCATCTTCGATTCCTCTAGATTGAGCTAAGGGATTGAGCTAAGGGATTGAGCTAAAGCATTGAGCTAAGGGATTGAGCTAAAGCATTGAGCTAAGGGATTGAGCTAAGGAATTGAATCCTTTCGTCATTTCCTTAGCTTTTGTTACTGTTCTATATCCAAATTAAGATATTCTACTGCTTTTATAAAACTTTAGGAGTTTACTACGATAAGAAATGTAGCCACGAATTGAATCACGGAGTGCTTGTTGTTGGATATGGAACTGAGGAAGATGGAGGGGATTATTGGATCGTAAAGAACAGGTGAGCAAAGGACAAGCTTTTTAAAGGACAAGCTTTTGAAAGGACAAGCTTGTCAAAGAACAAGCTTTTCAAAGAACAAGCTTTTTAAAGGACAAGCTTTTCAAAGAACAAGCTTTCTAAAGAACAAGCTTATCAAAGAACAAGCTTTTTAAAGAACAAGCTTTTCAAAGAACAAGCTGATGGTTTTCTAAAACTTCAAAAAGTTGTCAACTTCAAAAAGCTACCGTAAAGTTGCCTAAATTACAGTTGGGGCAAAGAATGGGGAAACGAGGGATACATTTGGATGGCTCGAAACCGGGAGAACAACTGTGGCATCGCCGATATGCCGATTTTCCCCAACTATAAAGCTGTTTGAATGTCGAACTATCTGGCTTAAATCTGAACTTATCTGACTTAAATCTGGAGCTAAATAAAAATTCTTCTAACAAATCAAGTTTACAAGATTTAATTGTAAAGGATAATATGATTTTTCTATTTTTAAACTTTTCTATTGCTTCTTGAGCTTGAACTCGATTCTTGAAACAATAATCTTTTCTTTTCTCTTTCTTTTTCTCTGCTTCTTCTTTCTTAAAATAAGCAAAAGCATTAAAAACAACATAATAAACAAGAAAAACATAATAAACAAGAAAAACATTACATACAGGGTGCGTCATAAATATTGCAACAAGATACTCAAGGCATTGCACACCAAGAAGTTTCACTGGAAGAAGATTTTTAAACAGAAATAGCTTTATTTAACAGTAACAAATAAGGAAACCAAGAGATCATTCGATATGACCGCCTTTTGCCTTGATAACAGCCCTTAATCGGTTCGGATATGCCTCCACTGCGGCCCGAATGTCATCTTGAGGAATTGCCTTTCATCCTTTGGTCAAAGACTTCTTCAAAGTCAAAGACTTCTTCAAAGTCAAAGAGCAGACATTAGCCTCTAAGATTGCCCAAATGGAGAAGTCCATCCCATTGAGATCCGGTGAGTTTGGAGGTCATTCATCCTTGGTGATCACTGAGGGAAAGTTGGCCACACACCAGTCCTGAACCGTCTTCTTCGTGTGAGCGGGAGCACCATCTTGCATGAAGGTCCAATTTTGATTGCTATTGGCTTTACACGCCCATGACATCACATTCTTGACATCACAAACGGTCTTTGAACTCTTGTTGCAATAATTATGACGCACCCTGTATATTCAAAGCATTTTTCTTTTAAACTTTAAATTTTCAAATTATCAGCCAAATTTTAGTCTTGCAACATTATACAGAAACATTAAAAAATTAATATTCAATCGGTTCACCTTTTGCCTCACTTCATTAAGGTCGTTTAGGCAGGCATTGAGTCGTTTAGGCAGCCCCATTGAGTCGCCTAATTCGTGAAGAATTGCTGGTCGAATTGAGCTCCAAACTTTTCGTATGTAGAACCATAAGTCAACTTTTGTGTGAAAGTCTTTTCTTCGTAACTTTGTGTCTTCACGTAAGCCCATCAATTTTCAATAACGTTTAAATCAGGCGACATAGGGAGCACATTGACCAACAAAACATTATTAAGGGCAAACCATCCAGGGGTGATGAGCTTTTCCTCCATTTAAGAGATTCACCGTGCGACCCATCATGAGCTTGCTCTTGTGAACCGGCGAATTGCCCTGGTAGAGAAACCATCCAGGAGCCATGTGATCTTGAGCAAATGGAAGTAGACATCCTTCTAGTATACTGGCGAGCATTCATGGTTGACTGGACGAGGACTTGGCTCTTAATTTGAAAATTAAAAAATTAAAAGAAAATGCATTAATTTGTCTTTTTGGCGATGACAAAAAATGTGGCAGGTCCGCTCTTCCTCGTCCTTTCAAATTTCATCGATTTTTTTTTTGAAAAAGTGATTTTGCAAGACTTTTGCTGGTATTGCAGCATCTAGAACATGAACAAAATAGTTAATAAAGTGGAAAATTTGATTCATTTTTTGTTTTCTGCAAAACTTCTACAAAAAAAAAAATTAAGAAACCTTTTAGAAAACCCCATAACATTTGATTACGGTAGATAAATGTCTTTTAAAAAGTCAAGGGAATACAGACTTTTACTTATACTTTTAAAGTACCGCCCCAGTGTTCAAATAAAGCTCCCCTATAGGGGAGCTTCTATTAGGGTATTTATGGTACATTGCTATATAGCAAAGATAAATTCTTGATCAAGCGTTGCCGTTTGTTAAATCTTTTTCTTTAGCTGCTTCTTGGTGTTTCGGTTGGTGGATCACTCGCCGTCACCCTGACACTCGGAGCGATTTTGGGCAAACTGACCGGAGCCTTCCTCGCGCTCACTCTTCTCTACGGAGCCTGCACCGTGCTTGCCCTTCAATATATCTTCCAGCATGCCAAGGACGAATCGGTAATTGTTATCGAATTGCACTAATCTCTTTTTCTGTTTAGGCTAAAACCTACACCTATCAACTCGGTCTTCTCGTCTCAACAACTGCCGCCTACCTTCTCATCCACTCCATCTTCGGCATGAGTGCTGACGCCCACGCGAACTACAAGGACAGCCGATAGAGTGCCCCCAACTGTCTCCCGTGCACAAACTGTTTCCCATGCAGGTAAGGTTTTTACTAAAGCTTTGATTAACTAGATTTCTTCTTTAGATCGGTGATCCTATCAACCGTGCCCAAAGCTGCCTTCTTCATTTCTACTCAATGGGAAAATAATACAAACAAAATAGTAGAATAAACGTTTTTCTGGGATTTTTAATATTGTATTTGGCAAAGTTGTGTTTTCCTTGCAGTCTGGGAGCTGATAAGCTTGTATTTTCAAAGTTTTAAAATCACCGGAAAGAGATTTTATTTGCAGGAAACTAGTTGAAACTGAAAGCTGAAACTATATACTAGTTGACACTTATACCGTAGTCCATTCCGTCAAAAATTTCGACATTAAATTTTCGCCATATTTTTGGCATTTTTTCGGGGGTGGCTACTTTGCTAAATGGCTAAATTTTTTTTTTTTGCCCAACTCGCCATAACTTTCTTCTAAGTGAGCCAATCTTTATGATTTTAGTGTACTTTTGTAGATCTCAACAAGTGCAACAAAATGACACCAAATTTATAAAGATTGGCCCACTTAGAAGAAAGTTATGGCAAGTTGGGCAAAGAATTTGGCGCAAAGTAGCCCCCCCCCATTTACTCGTGTCTTTGAGCCAATTTCTTTGAGCCTAGACTAAACTCTTTCTTGACTGAGGTCCAGTGATTCTTTAACTGCCACTATTTCTTTACCTAACCCACCCATCAAGGATAGGCTAAAAGGGAGTGCTCGATCATAAAGCTCAGCCCGGATTTGCCAATAAAGATGCCAATAAAGAATTGACGCTATTCACTTGGATTAAGATAAGCGAGGGCAAGGTATCATTTTAAAATCCGATAATATTAAACCTTGCTTTAATTTTCCTGAAGTCTATTTGACCCCTTTGAAATTCATCTAAAACATTCTCTTCTTCAATGAAAAGAAAAGATTTTCCATTATGGTTGAGCCCTTTTCCCGTATCGTTTTGAGTTTTGCCGAGTAGCTGCACCTTTTTTGCTTACGCGAGGAATTTGTTAGCCAAGCTTTAACTAAACAGTGTAGTTCGCTTTCGATTTTCAATGTTTTCCTTTCTTACGGTCAATTTTCTTTCACTAGACTAATGCTTTGATTTAGATCACCGGTGCAACATGGCGATGACCACACAAAATTGGTGTGTGGAGATCGAGGAGGATAACGCATGGGCAAACGAGATCGGAATCGATATGCATTACCCGAGGTACCTTGTGGAACCAGATGAATTCAGGGTTTGTTTGTTCTTATGGAATTGTTTTGAAAGAGTTTCTGATACTTTGTTGGTAAAGTATCAGAAACTTTGTTGGTAAAGTATCAGAAACTTTGTTGGTAAAGTATCAGAAACTTTGTTGGTAAAGTATCAGAAACTTTGTTGGTAAAGTATCAGAAACTTTGTTGGTAAAGTAGCAGAAACTATGTTGGTAAAGTAGCAGAAACTTTGTTGGTAAAGTATCAGAAACTTTGTTGGTAAAGTATCAGAAACTTTGTTGGTAAAGTATCAGAAACTTTGTTGATAAAGTGTACCCTTTCTTGCTAGTTCAGCTTTCATTGTGCTCAAGAAGAAAAGACGCTAAATTTAAGCAATTAGACTTGAAATCTTGAACACTGTTTTATCTTTTCTTTATAGGAAGTTTTATCTTTTCTTTTAGGAAGCTTTCAAATCGCAGATGCTAGGCATTCTTGTCGCTGCTTGCGCTGAACAGGAGCATGGTACCGATGTAACGAATTTCTATTCAACTGCGTAAGGATTTAATGCTTCTTCTGCCTTACCCAATAATTGTTTTTAGTTCGCAAATTCTCGGTGAACCGCTGACTGAGGAAAGCGTGAGGAGAATCTTTGGCTGTCATTCGCTTGCCACTTTTTGGGAAGAGCAATTTCCAGGATGTGTACTCAATAAGTAAGTTGTTTTTTTCCTGATTGTCCTAGTAAAACTTTTTTTTAGGGGTAGCCGTTTCCAGCTCATCGCACTACCTGGAAACGAAACTGATTTTATGGAAGATATGGAGAGGTTGCGTGCCGAATGCGTGAAAAAGTATTCACTTTCCTCTTCTTTAACTCATTTTTTTTTGTATAGGGATAAGGAAAAAAAGGAGATTCACATCGTTGAGGCTGCTCAACCCGAAAATGTGCAAAAGCGTATGGAGGTTAATGCTTGGTTCTCAATTATTTCATTGTGGTCTTTTAATTTCCAATGTCTACTCTGTTTCCAATGTCTACTTTTAGAGCTTCAATCGCTTATACGTTTTGCTTCAAGGTATAAATGAAAGCAAGAAAGTGTCAATAAACACTCCGGTGAAACACAGCGAGATCGCGAACACCTTGAAAACTGAATTTGGTATAATACTCAACAAAGAGGTATCTTTGAGTCTTTAGTTGTTTAAATTTCTAAATTTAGTACATCAAGGAAAACTACGGACGCTCCAAATTCAAGCTCGTCTTCCAGGACAATTCGCAGACAATTTTTCCGCAGCGACTTGAGTACATTGAAGACCCAACGAAAGGTGGCATTTTTTCAATTGCCATCAAGCCTGGAGCCGAAAGTAAGCGAAGTTTTTATGAATGATTCTTCTAGTTAGAGTTACTCTAAACTTAGAGCTAAATCTTAGAGCTAAGGTTGAGCTAAATCGTAAATCGTCATGTGAAGTACTCTCATATGTTCTTGGCTTTTCCAAAAATCATACAGTGGTCAAAAAATCTTGAGATCTTTCAAAAAGTTAGCAAATTGAGTATCCAAAAATATTGGATTCAGCTCATTTTTGTTTCATTAGATAAAACAAAGTTAGAAACTTAATTAACGGCTTAATTAACATAAAATATACTCTTTACAAACACTATTTATTTACGAAAAAGAAAAAATGCAAGAAACAAAGCAAGAAAGTCTTGATACCTTTTCAAAAGTTATTTATTTCTAACAAAATCCAGTATCGAGTTGGGCCTTTTTTAGCTTTTATGATCTCCTGAAGTCGGTTTGGCATACTTGCCACCAATTGTTCCATGGTTCTTTGTGAAATTCAGCTCCAAATAGCCTGAACCTTGTCTCAAAGCTCCTTTTTTTTGACGCAAAGCAGAATCCTCGCAATTTTCGTTTGACATGTACCCATAAATGTTCAATAGGGTTACAATCCGGCGAATAGGGTGGTGTTCGCAGCAAATCGACATTATTGAGCCGAAACCAGCCAGGCAATCTCACGAAAACTCCAGGTCGGATCTTCAGTTTTCGTGCCAACATCAATTCACTTGTATGTTTTGGATCCCCATCCTGCTGGTACGGCCAGTTTGGACTCATTGCTACATTTGTGTAAGGAAGCTGATCATTTTGCATCATATCCCGATATTTCACACTGTTCATGATTCCATCTATGAGCATTAGAGGTTCGACTGAGTTTGAAGAGAAACAGCCCCAACACAGTATCCCTCCTCCATTGAATTTGACAGTCTGTCGGATGTATTTCAAGTTGTATCGTGTTCCAGTGGGTCTCTTGATGGTGTAGTTGCGATTTCTGTTGAACAAATTGAACTTAGTTTCATCACTTCACCAGACACGTTTCCAGTCGTCGATTGATCAGTGTTGGTAGGTGCGGACGAATTCTAAATGTTTTGAAAAGGTATCAAGACTTTTTTGACCACTATGTGTTGTTTGTAGAAATAAAAAATCCTCTTAATTTTGTTTTTAACTTCTTTAAATAAGCAAATAAACAGCAAAAAAAACCTTTACTAATTTCACTAAACGTTTCTTTTTAGGACTCACAGAAGAAGAGATCGCAGAGGCAGTGGAGAAAGCGAAAAGAAACGAGGAAGCAGTTACGGCCCCCAAAAAGACGTTTCAGCCAAGAGAAAACCGTCAGTATCAAGTGCGTTTTTTATTTAGATTCTTAACTCTTGTGTTTCTTTTAGCCACAGTCGAAGAAAGCTTCAGAAGAGCGTATTCAACTTAGTGACGCGGATCGTGCTCTATTTCAAGGTATGCAAAAGCTCAATAAGTTCTTTTACACACTTTTGAAACGTCTTGTAATATTATATATATGTAAACAGTGGGTCCGTCCGTCTGTCCGTGATACCTTAAAGCGTTAAGCTAGAGAGCTGAAAGCTTGAGAAAATACGCAAAAAAAAATACGCTGATCCCGTAATAAGTTATTTTGCACACTTTTAAAATGTCATCGAATATAATATAAATGTTGCGTCCGGTTACGAGCTAATGTTCGTAATTCTTCATTTAAAACTAAATTTACTCGTATGCATCGCCCCCATTTGCCAGCTGTTTTCAGCTGCGTTAGCAGATGTAGTATATCTTTTCGACTGGTATGACAAGATTGAAAATTCTTCGGCATTTCAAAGAAGCGATATTTACCTTCAATAAAGTCATTAGTCCTGCAAATAATTTCATTTTTAGACAAACCCACTTCCACTTCCACTTTCAATACTACTTCGCAGGTGAACCGAAAGAATTCGGCCGCGACCACCGAATCAAATCCACCCAGGAACATGTATTTAGCACCAAAAGTGCGCTTACTGTTAAACTTATATTCCTTGAAATTTTAGGGAGAAACTAACAAGGCTCAACAAAGGCAAGAGGGCCAGAACTACACCTCAGAAGAAGAGAGCAGTGGTGATGAACAAGGTTGCTCGCGTCATAGCAAACAGAAGCAACCTCCACAGACAAAGCCTAGTCGGACTCGAGGTCCCGCACAAGTAAGTTTCCAGTCGATATTAGAATATGTATTGGGTTGGCCGATAAGTCTTAGACACTTTTTCTACTAGCGTTTATAAATGACAAATTCAACAATTGGCTCCATTAGAAAGCACTGCTATTTTTCTACAAAATAACGTCCGAATCTTCTGAAAATATTTTGTCTATGGCTTTTTATGGAAGCGCGAAGTCGGGTAGTCAAAAAAGGCGACAAGCCGAAGACGCAATTTGGGAGCTTTGGCCCAAAGAAACCTATGTTGCTGCCAATAGATAAAAGGTAGAGCGCAAAAAGTTAGGTATATAGCCAATGGGGCCAACCTGATAAAATAAATCAGCAGTAAGATATTAAATAAAATGTATAAGCAAGATTTGATAACTATTTGCGACACGACCTACCTAAACTTTATAGCGCTCCAATATGCATCAAACATTTATTCTTCAGGATGATGATCGTCTTCCAGTCGAGGAGGATGAATTCGATGTCGGTTATTCGAAAATGAACGACGACTATGCAGAGTAAGAATTTATTTTCTTTCTGCTTAGGCTCCATTTAGGCTTCCGTCATTGGATCAGCCTTCATATAATCAACAGGTTTGCGATAAGAAATTTTCTAAATAAGTTTTTCTATTTAGGTGCAGCAAGAAAGTCAGTATCAGAATCAGCCACATATAACACCTCAAAACCATGCTCGCAATATCGATGACTATTTTGTAAGCGACAAGAATTTCGTGTCTTATTATTATGTTTTGTATAACCAATATGTATTGAGAATTTTTTAGGATGGTACCGCTCAGCAAATGATGTTCGACAATCCTGCTCAATTTGATCAACCAGTTCAAAATGTGCGAGATAGTGCTCGACATTTTGCTCCAGTTTGTTTTTATTTTACGCGTTGTGTAATAATCTTTAGATTCAAAATCCCAATGATTCGCATGGAAGTCAACGTCGTTCACACGGTCCACATCAAGGAGTGCCGGCTCAGAATCAATCCACCTATAATCAGTCACCACGTGTGGCAAATGTTCCAACGGATCTTGTGTAAGTGGTTGATTGACTTTAAACTATTTGTCAATGCAATAAATCATATTTACAGGACAATTTTAGATCATCGAACTCTCCTTACGGTTATGGTGAGCTACCATTTGTACAAGGAAACTATTCACCAGAACAACGGTAAATTTGCCTTTGTTTAATTGTCTCATTCTAAGCATTTAGGTATCAAGGCAATAATATTGCTCAGCCTACATCAATGGCAGCTCGTCCAGTGAGTTAAAATTTAAAAAATAATGTAGATCTTTTATTTTAGGCTTCACAAGGAGCATCTCGACGTGTTCCTCAACGCGGCGATTCCAGTGCTCCTGGACCCCTTTCGGTCAGAATTTGTTTTTGACTGAATAACATTTAGTTTTAGGTTTCTAACCACGATATCATCATCATCAATCATCGTCGCCGTATGTGGCTCCACAGCGAATCGGATATGGAAATACTCCTCGTCTCGGATCATCTAGTGGCGCTTTTCAGTAGGGATATCTAATGCTTTATAATATCGATTCAATTTTAGGCAAGTGATGTCTAAGCGAGCTGCTGAAGCACAAACTCCCTATGAAATGATTGCGGATTATCAACTAGTCAGTTTTCTACGAAACTTTAAACTGAACTGTGTGAAGGAATACTAAAATGACCAAAATACCGATATTTCTTGAAAAGAAGTTTTTTTAGAATCTAAGCGGCCCACGTGATAAACGAGATGTGATGATCGAGGCTATCATTTCAATGGTTCAACTTCACGACCAGAATAATCAGGATCTGAGGGTTTGTTGATCTTTTGATCTTCGTATGACTATTTATTTTTAGTTGTCAAATCTGGGAACGAAGCTCTCGGCCTTTTGTGGAGTCGAAGTATCGCCAAAGGACTTTTGCCGCGAGAATTGGGCTGAGGTGATCGATCAAGATTGCAATAGATTCAACCAAAAGCTTCAGCTGCAACCATTCCGCGGGAGCGACGTGAGTGGTTTTGAAATGTTTAAAGATGCAAATGAAAGAAAGATACGAGTTAAAAGTTTGGCACTCTTCAGCTTTTTGATTGAAGTAGAGAATAAATTGTGTTTTTTTCATAAAGTAGCAATGGGGCGCTTATTAGACATAATGTACTTTGTTTGGTTGAAAAAATTTTTAGTTTCACGTCTTCTTCATCAAAGATGGCTAAAGACAAAAATGTTATTTCTGAAAATGAATGTTATTTCAACAATTTCATTATTAATTTATATAATTTCTTGTAAAACTTCTTCATGTGATAGCTAAATTCGTGTCAATGTCGATTCTTTCCTGCAAATTTTCGGTTACCGAGTTTATTCAAATAGAAGCAATTTTAAATATTAAAAAATAGAGGCACTTCCACTTCTATTATAATAAATACGGCAAGGATATTGTTTGCGTTCGATTTTCAATAAAATTTTAACGATACAATGGGAAAAGTTGAAGAGCGGGTGTTAATGAACTTTTAAAGTGTTATCTAAAAGCAGAATTTCATTTACAGTGCGGTTAACTTTACAAGTAGTTTTGTTGCCTTTTCCATTTCTTTTTAGTTTTTTTCTTTTCGAAAAAGACAGTAGTGTCCGTTCCGCACTCCAAAAAGGATGGAGATGAAAAAAAAAAGTTTGAGAGGCAAAGAGCAAATAATTGTGGAATGTGCAAAAAGAGGATGTGGTTCGGAGGGAAAGGGAAGGGGCCTCTTCGTGTCTATCTCATTTCTAAGTTTTGTCAAAGAAAACTACTTAGAACTTGCTTAGAAAACGGTTTTTACAGCGATTCTGGCATTGATTTGGCTTTGAAATGGCTTTGATTGGCTTTGAAATGATTCGTTCTTGGGGTTTTCGATGAATTCGGAACTGATTTTGCTGCTTGGTGATGCTGAGGTGAGATTTTGAGCTAGAATTTTGTTAAAATCGTTAATTTTTTTTCACATATAATATCAATATAAACCAAATGAAATTACCATTTTTTAGATAACATCCGAGCAGGCGGAACGGCAGAAATTATTTAGTGGATCCTTGTCGCCGGCACCGTTGAAAAGAAAAGGTATTAATTTCTTCTAGATTCTAGAGCTTATTCGGTATTCGGTAGATTTTGTATTCGGTAAAACTCGAAAAGCCTTTAGCTAGCAATCCTTTCAGCTAGCGATGTTTCCGTTCGACAAAGTGATGATGAGATTTTGCACATGACCGCCGAAAATGTGAAGACAAGCATGACATATTTTGGTGAGTTTTTTTTTTTGATTTGATTTTGGTGACATTTTGGTGACTCTCTACTTTTAACCTACAGTATTGTTAAGTATTGTAGTCGTTTTGTAGACGATAGAAGCCACTGTAAAAGTCTGGCACGTCTTACAGTTGATTGTAAACTTCTCTTAAGAAATCTCTTTCATAAAATGTCCCTTTTCTCAACTACCGTAATCTTGTCTTTCTTTAAAATTTAAAATCTATCGACTTTTCTCTGATTCTGTTGAAGATATTGAATTGAATGTGTCTGTCTTTTCTATCGTAATCTTCTCTATTTTTAGAAAATTCTACTTTTTCTATCTTTTGATAATCTTTTCATTTAATTTAATTTCAATTCAATTCAATTCAATCCAATTTAATTCAATTTCAATTCAATTCAATTCAATTCAATTTGATTCAATTCGATTCATTTCAATTCATTTCAATTCATTTCAATTCATTTCAATTCATTTCAATTCATTTCAATTCATTTCAATTCAATATCTTCAACAGAATCAGATAAAAAGTCGATAGATTTGATTAAAGAAAGACAAGATTACGGTAGTTGAGAAAAGGGACACAGTTTAGAAAGAGAAATTAATGCCAATTAGAAGAATATTATGAAATTTTGATTTGCTAACATTTTGCGACAATTTCGTGGTGAAAAATTGCGAGAATAGTGTTTGAAAATTGGCATTTGAAAGGAGGAAAGTAGGAAAATCGTGGATGAGTTTTGAGAAAAGGAAAGTGAAAAGGAAAGCTCTAAAGAGAGGTCCAAAGAGAGGAGTCCAATTTCACTTTCTTAGCTTCTTCAGCCAAAATCCGAGATCCTTTGCAAGTCATAGATCTGTTCAAGAATGAAATATTTTAAAAATTCATTTAATTATCGAATCGAAATCATTATCCAAAGCATATATAGTATCGAAATCGAAATCCAAATCATTGTCTTATTCTATTTAAATTCAACTCTAGTCTATCGAATTCGAATATCTTTTCTGATTCTACTTTAAGCTGTAAACGTACCCTTTCTGGTATACCATTGATCATTAATTTATCTCTGCTTTTTTTTATTGGATATCTATCTTTTATTGGATCTAAAGAGCACTCCCAAAGCTAGAGTACGGTGGTTTTTTTTTTCCAAATTCTTTTCTACAAGAAAAATAGGGATTTCAATGCAATGTGTTTACAGATTTAAGCTCCAAGTAAACAATCGAATTCACGTTGTAAACCCTAGCCATCTAGCGCGCAAATGAGAACTAGCACAATGTTTTCGGCGCTAGAAAGTTTGCGTTTAGATATTTAGAGCTTAAAGTACATTGAAAAGTTGGCTTAAGACTGAAAAAGGTTTAGATCTAGATTGATTTAATTTGATTTGTTTGATTGTTTGAAATTGAAATTGATTTGTTGAAATGTTTGATTTAATCGAAAATTCTCATTTTTCTCGCTTTTTCTCAAGTTCTTTTGCAAAATGAGCATTTGTTAAAGGGTTTTTGAAAGGATGACAACAGTTGTTCTTAAGTAAAAGAAAAGTAAAAGAAAAGTAAAAGAAAACTTAAAGAAAAGTTAAAGAAAAGTTAAAGAAAAGCTTTTTCATTTTTTTCAGATTCATTTTCTTCAACTCTTTTTTGAGTTTTAATAGCTTTTAAAAGACTTATCTCCTTTTCTACTTCTTTATTTCAATTTCTATTTAAATAAGCTTTATGTTTACGCCGAAAAAAAAACTTCTTTGTCAGTCAATTTTGTGAGTCAAGAGATTTCTCTCTAATCAAAACGTTCCTTGATCTGTTTACTTAGTTCATCAAAGAAATTTCGCTCAAATTCTCAAGACTGATGTAAGATTAGAGCTTAAATATTAAACAAATTGACTTTTTGGTCTTTTGAGAAATTGAATTTTGAAAAAAATTCTCACAATCGAGCCGGTAATTTGATTGGGAAAATTTATGGGGAAAATTTATGGGGAAAAGGTGAAAGCGCTCTTTGAATTGAATTGAAAGATTGAAAGCTTTGTTTTTATAAAGTTTTAGCTCTAATTAATCATAATAGCTAATAAAGCTCTAATTCTTTTATTCAATTGGTAATTTGATCGAATAATTGATTGAGATGGAGAATGGTGGAGGAATTTGCAAAAAACGGGGGATGACGGGACACAACCGGGATCGAACCCAGGCTTACGTTGATGGCCAGAGTGAGAGACCGACGCTCTGGCACTGTGCCATGTTGACAATGATCCGTTGCCTTTTCCACATCCTTTAGATGGCTGTGGACTAGAGGATTGGATCCAAAGAAAGGCCAAAAAGAGACTCCTTGAGATTATAAGGCGTGGAAAAGCATCCCGATGCACCTGCCAACATAGCGCAGTGCCAGAGCGGAGGCCTCTCGATCTGGGCTTCCTCTGGGGTCCCAGGTTCGATCCCGCATGCATCCCTTCAAACCCTTTTTTTGCAGATTTCTCTATTTTGCGATAAACACAAGCTAATCTTGGCTAAATTTGAGTTTTCTTTGACACGATTTTCGAAATAACATCATTTCCTTCTCTCAACCCAACTAGATGATCGTTTTCACTCGATCCGTTCCCCTATTTTCGAACTCTTTCCCCGATAAGGTCATTTTTGATATTTGTGCAGTGAATAGACTCAAAAAAAAAAGTTGAATAGAGGGAAAAGTTTTCGAAAAAGGACCGATTTTATGGTGGTTTACCCTCTTTTTTTTAGGAAAAACGAATAATTCTCTAGGTTTTGCGATTATTGACTCAATTATTTGCCTTTTCTTACTGTAGTAAAGCTTTAGATTTTTTAAAAATTAGTTAAAAAGGTGATCCTTTATGTGTGCTTTTCAACCAAGTAAAGCGCATCGGGTCTGGGGCATTGAATTCTTTCACTTTTCTCTTTTGCTATTAGGGTGTCCGGAATGAAAATACCCTCAACTTTGATTGCAATTTTTTTCGGTGTAGCGAACAGCTTCGCGTCTGATTTTTGTTTATTTTGTTTTGATTTTCCTTTTACCGAGAGAAAATGAAGAATTCTGTGTGCTAGAAAGAGTGTGTTTACAAATTTGAGCACAACATTGCTTGATGCTAAACTTTCAGTTGATTCAATTGATTCAATTCAATTGATTTCTTGTTTTCTTGATCAATTGAATTCTTGTTTTGTCAAGATAAGCAAAGCTTTTGTTCAAGTTTTCTAATTTCTTTTCTAATTTCTAATTTTCGCTAATCGTAATCCTACGCGTTGCTCTCATGCGTAATCACTTTTTTTTAAAAAACAATTTCCATTTATCTAATCTTTTCATTGGAAATAGAAAGGGATTTGGTTTGAATACGAGAAAAATATTGCGTGTTTTGAGGGGGAAAAGCAATGGAGAGGAGAGGAGAGGAGAGGAGAGGAGAGGAGAGGAGAGGAGAGGAGAGGAGAGGAGAGAAGAGGAGAGGAGAGGAGAAAATCCCACCCAAATCCCCGCAATACCTTTTGCTTACTCATTTTCGTGTTTTCAATGAATAATAGATAAAGGTAGTGCTTGAAATTAGTGAATTTTTAAGTGAAATTCTTTTGTGGATCTGTTTCTGCTTGAAAAAGTGTCTAAAACCGATTTTTCTCATCTTCTTCTTCTTCTTCTTCTTCTTCCACTTTTTCTTTCATTCCTGATCTTTTTTTCCTATATTTCTTTATTCTTATTTCTTTTAAAAAAAGAAAAATTCCAGCTGCAGCAATCATTGAAGACTTTTCTTTGACTTTCAGCAATACAACAATCCTTCCAGCAATACAGCAATCCTTCCAGCAATTCAGCAATCCTTCCAGCAACCATTGAACACTTTTCTTTGACGACTTTTCTTTTATTCAACCTTAATTTCAATCTTTAACCCTGGAGAGACGATCGAGTTATGATGAGAGATTGGTGGAAACTTTTTACACAATTGGTGAGGATTTTAAGCGAATTTTATAATTATTAAGATTTAATAACTAATCCAAATTTCGAAACTTTCTCAATTTTCTCTTTCTTTTGTCTCTTTTTATCGAATCGGATCTAGAAATTGCATATTACTCAAAAAAAAAAGACTTAGGAAACTTTTTACAGTTAGTCCTTATTTACAAGGTTTTTATATAGGCTTTCTAGAGCTCAGGCTTAGACTTAGGCTTGGACTTAGTGCGAAGGCTGTGGGAGTGAAGCAAGTGTGAAGCGCCTCGCAAAGTCTATTTGGGTTTGGGCTAAACCCCCACTTTCGGGATTAGGCTTAGACTCAGGCTTAGACTTAGGCTTAGACTCAGGCTTAGACTCAGGCTTAGGCTTGGACTTAGGCTTGGACTTAGTGCGAAGGCTGTGGGAGTGAAGCAAGTGTGAAGCGCCTCGCAAAGTCTATTTGGGTTTGGGCTAAACCCCCACTTTCGGGATTAGGCTTAGACTTAGGCTTAGACTCAGGCTTAGACTCAGGCTTAGGCTTGGACTTAGTGCGAAGGCTGTGCATGTGCGCAGGCTAGCGGCTAGCGGCTCTCACTAGGTCGGACCCAAGGAGGAGTAGGCTTGCAAAATTTCAGGTCGCTTGTGTCTAGTGTCTAGAAGTTGAGATAAGATTAAAGATGAGATTTTTGATCGAAAAATATTAGAAAATAAAGGGATTAGGGTTGAGAGTACTTCAAAAATCTTAGGAAACAAAAAATTGCTTCCGCTTATGCAAATTTGCTGAATGGTCAGTTGAAAGGCGATTTGAGAAACGTTTTTTTTCTGTTTTCTTTTGTGTTTTGCTTTCTGTTTTCTTTTCTGTTTTCTTTTTGTTTCTTTTCTCTTTTGCTTTCTCTTCTTTTCTCTTTTCTTTTCTCTTTTCTTTTCTCTCTTCCTTTCTCTCTTCCTTTTCAATCTTTCCCCACTTTTCACACGCAAAGATTTGTTGATTTTAGAGGGATTCTTGAATAATCTAAAGAGAAAGCTCACTTTTTCGTGTTTCCGCGTACCAATCGGCTTAAAGGCTTTCTTTTCTTTCAATTTAAAACATTTATAAGCTTTATTTG